TGGGGAATTCTGGGAGTTGAAGTCCACACATCTTAAAGTTGCCAAGGTTGAGGAACACTGATCTAGAGATATGCAGGAGCTGACTTCAGGTTTGTGTGGGTCCCTTTGCTTTTCCCAGAACCCCCCAATCTACCAGGTGAGGCGTGGTGTGAAAGAAATGGACAAAATGAAAATAAAATCCTGAGCAGAACTAAACAGAGGTTGTGGTCTAAACCCTGCCTGTTTGTCAGGTGCGTCACACGTGCAGCACGTGCAAAAAGAGCAGGGCTTTGACTGCCCCCTTGCAGCCACCATCCCAACTGTTTTGATTCCCCTTGCTCGGCACAAAGGGACAAGGAGGTAGAGCTTACAGTTCCTCCCCACAGCAGCTTCCCCTGTAAGCTGGAACATCCTTGCCTTGGGATTTACGGTACTGGCAAGGATGGAAAATCGACTTTCTGCATGCACGCATGTGAACCTGCAGAGACAGCCTCAGAGGCTGCCACTGTGAACCTCACCAGACGTTTCCAGGCTGATTGTTACGTTCCCCAAAGGTGCTGTAGGAACCGTCCGCATGTTTGTAGTGCAGCTGCCTCTGGTAGCCTGCAATGGAGGGCGAATGTTAGTTTGTACTTGTTCAATAGATGGTAAAACCTCCCTTGAGTCGAGTAAAAGGAAGGAATATAAAGTTGGCTTATTTGATCACAGTTAAAATAGAGATGTTGTTATATCTGGTAACCCTTCATGGACCTTTACTGACATCAGGAATGAGATGATGAGGCTTTATGGATTTGTATATAGATAAGAGATGGGGTTTGGGAAGGAGATCATTTGTAAGAGAAGGTGCTAAATTGCTAAAATTGTTTCTCATGATGAAGGGGGAAGTCACTTCTTTATATATTTCTTTTCTTTTTCTTTACTATAGTCTTTTTTTTCTATTTCTCTTTCTCTTTTTTCTCTCTTTTTCTTTTCTGTACCTTCTATTTTTTTACTGTTGTAATTATAATCTTTAATGAAATTACTATAAAAAAGCACTGACCGTGCCCAAATATGCTTAGCTTTTTGTGATCAGTGGAGATCTGTGTATAGTTTTTTTGGAAATTACATGGAAGTGGTTTGCCTCTGCCTTATTTTGGGATATTTGTTTGACTTTCCAATCCAATACACAGCCATGGGATTTCTGAGTGGTCTCTCATCCAGCCTGGTAAAACCCTGTTTGGGAACTGGCAAGGTACTGCCACTTCCTGAAAACTTCTCATATCAAGCTTGATTTTTGTTGGCATTAAGGACACATCCATGTAATTTCTTAGAAACAAGAGAAAAATGCTTACTTCTGCCTCTGCTGAAAATTTTCTTCTGACTTTGGAATTTCCTGGTGGTTTCCCATCCAAGAACTAACTAGGTCCAATCCTACTGAGCTTTTTTGAGATCGTTCAAGATCAGCTAAGATTAAACGGGGATTTCTCCAAATCTGAACAGAGATGCTTTTTGTGTGGTAAGATAAAATACTATTTAATAAATGCAAAACTCTCTCTTTAATCAAAAAAGAAAATTAACATTATTATGTTCTTTTTCTTCTCCATTTTATAATCAAATGGAAAACAGGTTCAAAAGATCAGCAAATGATTCCTGAACTTGCAACTACAATGATCAAAACTGACCACTATAAATTAATTTAATCGAGCTTTAGGCTGATGGTCTGCTGATCAACTCAGCTGAGGTCACATTTCTAGTAAAATTGGCATGAATTCATTATTTGATTAATCTATTGATCCTTCCTATTAGGCCCTGATTATTAATCTTGTCAATCAGAGGGAATTCCTCTTGTTCCCAAGAAGACAGACTTCCTTCTGCAGAACTGTGAACCTTCTTACCAGTCACTAAGTATCCGATCGCCTTCGACTCGATTTCCTCGGTCAGCTGCCCAGTCTTGTTCAGATAGTCCAGGATGTAAACATTGGGGGCAAACAGGGCCATGTTTTGCTCCCCACAGCCAAAAGGCAACTGGAGAAGCTGGTGCAGGTTCTGGATGGCTGAGCCCAAAATATCACCTGTGGTAGGCAAGAAAGATACAAGAGGCATCAAGAGTTGGGAATACTTTTGAGAGAGGGGAAACATTGTCTGTGAAAGCGAGAGAAATGGAGAGCCGCAGAAGGTCAGGGAGACACGGATTTGGTCAGAAAATGAAAGAGCAGGATGAACAGAGCATCAACAGAGAGAATGACCCCACGTTGCAAAACCTTTGGGCCACCCTTTCAATCTCTCTGTGCAGTTAAGGGATTTATCTGAAAAGAAGACCCGTTCCTTTCACTGCCAAAATAACGTCAGTTTTCAAGGCGGAGGGTCATCTTAGATTCTTACTTAATTTTTTAATTTAATGTATTCCATGGGCATGGCTGCCCAAGTCAGAACATCGCTGGGTGGTGTGCAGTGTTAAAAACAGACAAACAGCAACAGCAGTCAAGAAACCATTAAGTGATACCGAAGATTTGGCCTATCCCATGTCACATGAAGTACTGTTGAAGACCGCCCCCATCCACTAGCCCAAGGAAAAACAGGTATTAAGGGCTTTTTAGAATAAGATCAGGGTGGGGGCTGTATCTTAAGCAGCTGTACTGGACAGACTGTTTATTGGAAATGGAAGCGTTCCTCAATGCCTCCAAACAGTATCTCCCTTCGGTGGTGCATCAAGAAAATTGAGCATTAGCTTATGAAGTCTGTGGATCTAACCAATCTCTTCTTAAACTTATCCAGAAAGGAGAAACTTCCAGCTTTCTAAGATCATCTGTCCCACTGACCAACAGCTCAGACTCCTAGGAAGATCCATTCTTCTGGATTTTTATTTTTAAGAAAAAGCTGCATGGACATACATGCATGAAGTAGTATATGCATTTGCATTTTGGCTGGGTTTCATCACCCAACGCAGCATTGTGACCAAACATCATCCTAAAGGACACCTTTGAATGAAAACTTGGGGATCTTCAGAGCAATCTTCGTTCCCGAAGAGAAGGAACAGCAACTCGCACAGAGATTCTTGCAAGATTGCATTGCTTACCCAACACACAGAAGTTAGCCCGTGCAGATTTCTCCACGATGTCGTCTGGGACCTTTAAGGAAATAGTTGTGGACTGGGTTCCTTCTGTAAAAAAATAAAATAAAATTGAGAGTCTGGATTGAGGTCTTGGGTTCTTATCCTGCTAACCTTCTCACTTCCTGCTACCGCTGCCTGTTGTTAATCCAATAAATGGGAAAATTTTTGAATTGGCCTCTCCTTCAGTTTTCAGATGGCCCTGGGACTCACATGTAGGTCTAAGGCTGCCTGTTTGCCCACCCCTGTTCTCTAGGGGCCATGAGGTTTGCTTTCTCTAGCAAAAGGAGTCTGAGGAAAGGGTTTTGTAAGTGTAAGGATCATAATGTAGAGAAGTGTTTCTCAACCTGGGCAACTTCAAGACGTGTGGACTTCAACTCCCAGGATTCCCCA